GGGATCCATACTCCATTAAAGAAATGCAGGGGACTCAATTCAATTTCATATTTCAGGAACACTAATTTATTTCATATCAATGGGCCACTTGAAGATTCTAGAAAATAGTTATGTTAACATTTACAAAATCTAAAGCTCTGTGTGGAACAGCTGCTGGCCTTGTTTCCTTGGTATCTATGTAGTTTTCAGTCCTTTCAATTTATTTTTTATCATGGAACACTTAAGGAGAAAGTTACTTCTCTATAATTGCTTGATACACCCTTGGACATCTCTTTCTAAATTACTTGTTCTGAGGAAGTATTCTGTAGCAATAGAAGGGCTCACAGTTACATGGCACTTTTCAACTTACACATTGGTTCAACATCTGTGAAAATATTTTATTTTATGAGCTTGACAGTTGGGGTTCTTGTTTGATAAGAACTCTAAGGCAATTTCCATTAAATTAGATGATACATGAAGATGATGCAGTACATTGGCAGAGAGAATTTTTCATTTTGATGTTCCTGCTTAAAATTCCAAAGTTCTCTAATTTGATATGCAAATGAAATCCTTAGTTTTACATAGTCATAGGATGATTTATGCTATGTGAATACAAATTAATGCTAATGTAATATTATTAGTACCTGAGCACTTACTGAGATAAAGTTGGAAGGTACATTATTTTTGTATTGAAACACTACAGAATTTTACCATATAAAAGGCTGTGCATTCTTGGACAATCCTATTCAGGACTTAAAAGTTATTAACTGTGAGAATTTATTAGATGCTTAATACTTCTCAAGTGCTGTGACTAACCTTAAAAGTGCACTGAAATGATTTCTGGTAGCTCCTTAAGAATAGCAATCATTAAAAAAAAACCTGTAGTTGGGCAGGTGTTTGATGTAGCAGTTAAAATACAAGGCGAGATACCCACATCCCAGATCAGAATGCCTGGGCTCAGGTCCTTGTTCTACTCCTGGTCACAGCTTCCTGCTGATGCACACCTGAGAAGCAGCAGTGATGGTGCAAGTGTGTGGATTCTTGCTGCTCATGTGGGAAATCCTGGACTGAGTTTCTGGCTCCTGGTTTTGGCCTTGCCCAGTCCTGGATGTAGACCAGCAACTGTGTGATCTCTCCTAGACTCTCACATAAATAATATTAAACAATTTGTAGCAAAACTTAAATACTTCCAGGATATTATTTTTATAAAGGACTTATTTTTGAAGAAACTCCCTGTATTTGAGTAATGAGCTAGTGTTTTCTCTAGCCTCTGCCTTGTAAAGAAGGCTTTGAGGGGCTGGCACCGTGGCTCACTTGGTTAATCCTCAGCTTGCAGTGCCAGGATCCCATATGGTAGCTGGGTTCTAGTCCCGGTTGCTCCTCTTCAAGTCCAGCTCTCTGCTGTGGCTCAGGAGGGCAGTGGAGGATGGCCCAAGTGCTTGGGCCCCTGCACCCACATGGGAGACCAGGAAGAAGCACCTGGCTCCTGGCTATGGATCGGCACAGTGCCAGCTGTAGTGGCCATTTGGGGAGTGAACCAACAGAAGGAAGACCTTTCTCTGTCTCTCTCTCTCTCACTGTCTATAACTCTACCTGTCAAATAAATTTTAAAAAAAAAAGAAGCCTTTGATACCCCAGCAATCTGAGTCAGAGGAATGCAAATTGATACCCCAGTGATCTGAGTCAGAGGAATGCAAACTCTTCTTAAGAAAGCAAAAATAACTCCAAAGCTGTTTGAGTGGATGACAAACAGGTGGGTATTGCACAGGGAGGAGAATGGTACACAAACTATTTCCTAAAGGGACTTCACAATTCAGTTCACAGACACCTTCCATTGAGGCATTCATATTATATTCACAGAGCCAGCAATATTCAAATATAGAATAGAACCCAGCTTTCTGCTAATGCAGACCCTGAGAAGCAGCAGGCGACAGCTCAAATGGTTTAGCCCCTGCCACCCAGGTGAGAGACCTGGACTGACTTTCCTGGCTCTCTGGCATTGGGGAGTGAACCAGCAGATGGGAGCTCGCTCTCTCTATATATGTCTCTATATGTCTCTTTGTCTCTTTCAAATAAACTAGACAAAAAATTTTAATTGTTATTATTAAAAATATCAAGGCAAGTAACTGTATTATATTCAAAATATAATGTAGAATTAAGAATTTCTAATTATTTGTATTACCTGGTTCTAAGTGAACTAGGAGTTCCAGGAACTGATTGTGATTTTCCTGTGTTTTGTTGTTGATGGCTGACTGTTCTGTGCTTTGGTTGTAGAATCGCTGAATTGTTCAGTACCCCAAGGCCTGCCCTCTCAGACACCTCCCTAACAGGCTGTCATTGTGACTCCCCTCTCCCGGGCCCATTTTTCCTCTGAAAGGAATTATGAATGACCAACAACACTGGAAGGATACATTCTCTACAGAAAGTCTGGCTTCCATCACTATTGACCTGACAACCTGTCAGTGAAGCGCAGTGTGGGCAGTGTAGTCTGTGAAGTATGACAATGTACCTGTGATGTGCAGTGGAGACAGGGTGTCCTGTGATATCTGAAACCACCCACCTGTGACATGCAGTGTGGACTGTGTGCTCTGTGAAGACAGATGAGCATTTCAATCCCCTTTCTAGCACTGCCTATGGAGGAACTTGGGGGAATCTTTTGCACTCATCTGAACCTCCATTTGTTGATTCTTTATCCTACCTGAAGATTGCTACTCCCAGCGCCTCACATTACTGAGGAGATGTAAAGATTGTGTGCATGTGGGACTTTGCAGGAGCATCACTCACTCAGCAAAAATGCACTAGATGTTTCCTCTCTGCTAGCCTTTCTGATAAGCACCAGAGGTGGAGCTGTAAACAGACTTGACCCTGGCCTCTGGAGCTGATAACATCTGAGGAAGAAAGAAAAACAAAAGAGTAAACTGATCACAAAACAAAACCCAGCAAACTCCTGTTCTTACACGGGTAGGCTTTGAAAAGTAAAGCAGTGCACTGGATCCACAATGGCCCATGCGGACTTGCCTGCAGAGAATGAGTTATTTGTGTTTCTTCCCAACTCTGCCTTTAGTGACATTATGTGAGCGGATTGAAATCAGCCATGGGCCAGTATGTATTCCAGGGAAAGCACTGAGGCCACTCATCAGAACTCTCTCCCTCACCCCACTGTCCTGGAGATCTGCTGCACACTGCTGGGTGTAACAATGACAGGGAAATGAACAGATAGCAAAGAGGTAGGATGCACATGGCCTCTGCATGAGGAGATGACATTTGATGGGGACACTCAGTTCTTAGAAGTAGATGTTCTTGGCAGAGATAGGGGCATAGCACTTCAGGCAGAGAGAATAGCAAGTGCAAAGGCCTGAAGCCTAGGGGGGTTGGAGAAGAGATAGATGCGTAAGAAAGATAATGTGTGAGACCAACCACTTCTGAGAAGATACTAGATTAGTATAGTAGACAGGAACAGATGTCCAATAGACAACATTAATTGTCAATACTGGTTTATAATTGAGACAGTTCAGCACCCAGAAAATTCCATCTGCAAAAGTAGGATCAGCCCCATCAAGTTAGGAGTCTCTGCTACAACTCAGTTTTTCTAATCTCTACAGCAAACTTACTGGGGAAGTAAAGGACAGGTAACCACTGCACTCCCGAACTCCCGCTAAATGATCACCGCAGAACCTGGGATTGGAACTTTGGTCTAAGCTGCCTCACTCGCAGTTCCAGTCTGTGTTTCAGTGGAAAATTTGGAGAGAAGAAAAAATAAGAAAGGACAGGGAGTGTCAGCAGTGTTTAGACAGAGGTAGGAGAGGCAGGGGGAGAGGCAAGTAGATGTGGGCTCCCAAAGGAAAATCCCAGAAACTGAATCAAAGGTCAGGATTCTGGAGAAGGCAGCTGGCAAGGACCAGTGGAGCTGGGCTGGTGACAGAGTTTTACGACATTCACCAAGAGGGGTTGCTGGTTTCAGTCTGTGCTGGTCTTTTCCTCTGATTCCATCTTTGGCTTATCTTTCAGAAAATGAACTCTCTGTAAGCCAGAAAATTAAGTAGGGATTTTGAAGACATTTCTTTTATATTAATTGAAAATATTCTATCAATGTAACAGCCGTTCTAATTAGATATTAAATAGCCAGTCTGCATATTTAAAACATTTAGAAGCTTTTATCCCACTGAAATTAATTATATGATACTGATTAATTGCCATTCCCTTACTTTTTCCTCACAAATGAATAGGAATAATTAACCATTTCTCTAGTTTTTCCACTCTTGGAAGATATGCACATGACTGGACCTTTTTTATTGTATTTTAATTGCTATTTTTCATTACTGAAGGATGCAGCTAGATCCTGGCATTAATGTTTAATGCTCCATCTTGCCTACAATCCACAGCAAAAGGGGCTTAACTATCAAAGGATGTTTTCTACCAGTGTAGTTTAGGTTTCCATTTTTTGGTATAGTAAAGATTTTATAACAAAATTTCTAAGAAGTCTTGATAACGCAATAGCAATGAAATTCATAATTCATTTTCATACTCACAACCTGCTTCTAAAATATGCCTTGTCATTCCAACAAATAGCATCACATCCAAATAATTCAAAGATTATTTGAATTTTTAAAATTAAAGGAACAAACTTAAAAGGAATATTTTAAGCAAATGAGGGGAGTAAGAAGGCAAAAGGCACAGGACCCCAGCCCCTGATACTTGAATATGCTGTTTTAATTTTTGACCCCTCTCCACCCTTTCCACTCCCCCACAACATATGATGTCATTTTGATGTCATTTGTAATCATGAGGGAAGTACCATCTAGCTCCCACCTGGTCAGCACAGGCCGGCCAGGAGGGCTGAGCTCAGGGGAAGGGGCTACATAAGGGTGTGAGGAGGTCAAGACAATGATGCTGAAGGAAGCCAAGCCAGTGAACAGCCCCAGAGTCATGGCTTGTGGCACTGGGTTGATGCTTTCTCCACGAGGAACCACTGAGCCTGATGCATACTTTTGCCCACACTTGGAAGCGATGTTTACTCATACCTGAAGTGCAAGTCTTTAAAGGAGAACTGAGTTTCGATGATCCCAGTTGTTTTCACTCGAGAGTGTAGAACATCTTGCTCATTTGGTACATACCCGGGAGCTGTGATTCTATCTAAGTCATTCAGGTAGCTAGTAAAAACAAAACAAGATAGCAAAGATGCATGTAGATATTTAACATAGCAGTGGAAGACACCAGGATTCACTGCCAATGAATTTTTAGTGTAGCTGCCATTAACAATAGCAGGGCTATTTTTCCAACAGGGCTGCTTTTCCAACTCTGCCATCCACATCACCAGTTTGGTAGCTGGGATGTTGCCTAGCTGTGAAGCCCTGATTGTGGCACCCAGCTGGCCATGGGGAAACGTTCCTAAAGGCAGCCATTCAAGCTGCTGTAGCTGGAACCTGTACGTGAAGCATGTTGTAATAAATTCCCTGGTATTTGATTAGGAGTCTGAAACAAAATTTCTCTTTATGTATAGGACAATATGGAGGGAGAGCGAGGGATAGGAGGTTGCTTTGAATGACAGACACTAGACTATCCTCAAAATTTCATGCTTTGAATTTAGGTATTAAGGAATTTAAGAGAGTGGTGGGTTTTAATGTCATAATTTGAAACTTGTTTACTATTTCTACACAGACTGCCTGTTGAGGAGTCAGCCATTTCTCTTTTGTATCACAGTAATTCTCAGTCATTATTACCATAAAATAAGTCCCTTTTGTTTCTCATGCTGATCCACTTAGGAACTCCTGAAATTGCCGACTCAGCACTTCTGGGGCCAGAGGACTGTACCTACCCACTGTACCCACTCCCACCTTCACTTGCATCAGTGCATCCTGTGCTGTTAATCCCTCCACAAAGCCATGGTAAAAACCCAATCCTCATTAGGCTAGACACTGTCTTCTTTGTCAGGAGATCTGGGGATGTGTTGGCCAAGGAAGAAATCCCATTTTGCTATGTGCTCTAGAGGAGTCTGAGAGTAGAGGAAGGAACCTGCTCCTGACCTCTCCATCCCTGGCACACATAATGACCTTAACCAAATCTAAGTGCTTTCTTGCTTCATTGTTCTACGTTTTTCCTATTAGAGATTTAATAGCTTCATAATATGACTACTTCTGTGAAAATTTTAAATGCTTAAATACAAATAGTGGAGCTGCCTGGACTCTCACTCAGGCAGTGGCTTTACCTGCTACCCCATAGTGCTGGCCCCAGATACAAATAGTAATAGTGTGGTACTAATTTTTAAGACACATTTGGGGCCGGTGCCGCGGCTCACTAGGCTAATCCTCCGCCTAGCGGCGCCGGCACACCGGGTTCTAGTCCCGGTTGGGGCGCCGGATTCTGTCCCGGTTGCTCCTCTTCCAGGCCAGCTCTCTGCTGTGGCCCGGGAGTGCAGTGGAGGATGGCCCAGGTGCTTGGGCCCTGCACCCCATGGGAGACCAGGAGAAACACCTGGCTCCTGCCTTCAGATCAGCGTGGTGCAGCGGCCGCAGTGCACCGGCTGCGGCGGCCATTGGAGGGTGAACCAACGGCAAAGGAAGACCTTTCTATCCATCTCTCTCTCTCTCACTGTCCACTCTGCCTGTAAAAAAAAAAAAAAAAAAAAAAAAAAAAAGACACATTCGACCACTGCACTGAACCAAGTTTACATATATAGCTCAAACAGAAAAGTAAAGATTGGAATAACTCAGCCGGCGCCATGGCTCACTAGGCTAATCCTCCGCCTTGCGGTGCCGGTACACCGGGTTCTAGTCCTGGTTGCGGCGCCGGATTCTGACCCGGTTGCCCCTCTTCCAGGCCAGCTCTCTGCTGTGGCCAGGGAGTGCAGTGGAGGATGGCCCAGGTCCTTGGGCCCTGCACCTGCATGGGAGACCAGGAGAAGCACCTGGCTCCTGCCTTCGGATCAGCACAGTGCGCCAGCCGCAGCATGCCGGCTGCAGTGGCCATTGGAGGGTGAACCAATGGCGAAAGGAAGACCTTTCTCTCTGTCTGTCTCTCTCTCTCACTGTCCACTCTGCCTGTCAAAAAAGAAAAAAAGAAAAAAGGTTGGAATAACTCCACTGAGACAGAATTTGGGAAGCAGAATCCAGCTGCAAGTGTTCAAAAGCTGAATTCTTTCAGTGAGTAAGTTGAGGAGCTTCTGTGCCTTATCACCTAGCACAATAGCTTAAGATACAAAGTTATTTTGTCATCAAGTAATAAATTCCATAGCAATATGGGCCATTTATTCTTTAAGGATGCTTTTGTTTTTAAACTGAAAATAAACTAAGAATGGGCAAACATCTGAAAGGGAGTTTGGTCAAGGGCAAAAGAAAATCACATCTCAGAAACAGACACATGAATACTGTGAGAATTTATCATCATTGCTTTATCTAACAGTGATCATGTTTTCTTAAATCAAGATGTAAATGTATCAAACAAAGTGTTGGCAAACTTGGCTAGTTTATTTTTTTTGACTTTGGGAAGCAATTCTCTTGTGAATTTCCTATCAACCAAGTTTACATTACGGTAGATATATCATTGGTCAGTTGGCCCGTGAAGATTTAGAGGAGATCAAGCCTGTTCTGGGTGGTATGGCCGTAGACAGCCCATAGAGGTTTAAAAAAATCAATTAAACATACCTCCCAAAATAGAGATTAAGTTCATTTTAATAGTACCTAAATGAAAGTTTTTAATGCACTTTTTATTTGCATGTGTAAATGATTTCAGGCAAAGCAGGGACATTAGCAGACTGGCATATTTGCATGTGAAATACTTGTTTTAATAAACAAATACAGGATTTGAGTGTTCAGGCCAAGCTTGGACCAGACAGAGGCTCTTCATACATATGTCTCAAATGACTTAAAGATGCTTGCTTGATTCTTTTTCCAATCACATAAAAGTAGTATTTTACCTGGCAGGGCCTGTGCTAATTCTTCTATCCTGTGGAGCTTAAATAGCACACTAAGTGGGCCCCATCATCCGCCGTAGGGTCTGCATCCAAACCTTCCCCCGTTGGGTTGCCTCTGCTATGCTCCCCTCCTTCAGTTTGCTGGCACCGACAGGGTTTTCATGGTGTCAACTACAGCATTACTCTCTCTCCCGCTAATTAGTCACCTCTGTTAACCTCAACGTGGAGGATCTCCGGATCTGAGAAAAACAATGAGTATCTTACTTTCACACTCCCCAGAAAAAAAAGGAAAAGGACAATGAGAAAAAGAAACAGAGTCTGCTCTGTGCAATGCATATGATATAGTCATGCAATATGGTATCATTTTGGTTTTGCATTGACTTATATAATAATGTATTCCAGTGTTGGGAAAAAAAAAACTTGAAATTTTTGGAAGAAATCAGTGGCTTTCAATTGTTTTTCTTTGGGAGTGCTCATTTAACTTTAAGGACACCTAGGGCAGAAAAACTTTCAACTTTTTGGTTATATATGAAATATTTCTAAGATATGGGGAAAATCAGCTTTCCTGTTGTTATCCTACTGCCATGCAATGACTTCTTCCAGTAGTCTAAAATCAGAATGATATGGCAGTATTCACAAAAGAAATGCTAATCAATGCTGTTCAATTATATTTAACTTGTGGAACAGATAAATATTTGTAATAAGAATTGATAATGGCATAATCAAAATATATAACATATTTTCAGTATTTATATAAGAAGAAAGTTAAAGATTATAAAGTACAAATTAGATGACATTTTACTTGCCCATCTTAACTGTGGGATAATAAATTTTTATTATCAAAGAGCAAATAATTTGGTAAACAAAATGATCATATAATTGCTAACACTTTCCTTTCAATATTTTAATGGAAAAATAATGTTTACTGAATAACATCTATTCAGAACTAAATATACTAAATATAGCTCTTTCTCTCTGTTATTCCCCAGAACTTTGTTAAGCAACATTTTATGGGATTCTTTCATGATTTGTCTCTTTACTAATAGTGACTGCCTTCGCTTCTGATCAGTATAGACAAGCAACATTTTATACCCTACAGAGATCCCACCTTCTATTATCATGTGGTGGGAGCTGAGACACTTAGGAAGGCAATTATTCAAATTTCTTTCATTGCAGATGACACCCATTCTCTACTTCATCAGAGGGCTAAGAGCAGCTCCTTCCAGCTAAGGCAGCATGCAGATTAGAATTTGGACCTAAAATGAAGATGAATGAGTGGCCACAGAAGACTTTTATTTTGCCTGGAATTTACATGGCTTATTTTCTCTCCATAATCATTCTGTTAATCACTGATTTCCAATTTGAAGGATCATGCAAGCTTACTTGCTGTGATTCTTCATTTGTTTTGTTGTTGTTGTTTTTGACAGGCAGAGTAGACAGTGAGAGAGAGAGACAGAGAGAAAGGTCTTCCTTTGCCATTGGTTCACCCTCCAATGGCCGCCGCAGCTAGCGCGCTGCAGCTGGCGCACCACACTGATCTGATGGCAGGAGCCAGGTGCTTATCCTGGTCTCCCATGAGGTGCAGGGCCCAAGCACTTGGGCCATCCTCCACTGCACTCCCTGGCCACAGCAGAGAGCTGGCCTGGAAGAGGGGCAACCGGGACAGAATCTGACGCCCCGACCGGTACTAGAACCTGGTGTGCGGGCGCCGCAAGGCGGAGGATTAGCCTAGTGGGCCGCGGCGCCGGCTATGCTTCTTCATTTGTTTCACTCTCATTTCTGTTTTGCATTTTTTTGTTTACGTACTGCTGGCATATTGTCTTTGAGGGGGTCATTAAAAGGATTATATATTTCTTTACACATTCATATGCATGAACGGAGATATAAAAAGATGAATTAGATTGAATTTACAGACTTGTACACGATCTTACAAACATGTCATGATGGGATAAGTTAAGAACCTTTTGTTAAAACGAACTTGTAGGTCACCTTGATAATGAAATTATAAGTAGTGTTACAGCCTCCTAAACTCCTTAAAGCTAATAAATGTTAACTGGCTAATACAAGCTGAAAAAATTACATAATTTTCTTTGAAACTTCAGATGAATTCTATAGTACACAAATATCTTAGAAACCAGTACATCACTTCCTTCAGGGACTTTGTGTTATGCTCATCAATCCAATGAGCCAAAACCAGGTTGCTAATAAAATTACTGTTGGGGATGATTTCAGTAACATGAATACAGGTGAAACAAGCAACCCCAAACCCCAGCATGTATGCCACCAGTGTGTGTTAACATTGCGCACTATGCATATTTTGTTCATTATTTTAATCAAGAAAAGATACATGCAACGCATGTCTTTTTCAGGCATACCGTTTCAAAATTAGCTATTTGCTAAAGCAATCTTGTACAACAAAAACAAAGCCGGAGGCATCACAATACCAGATTTCAGGACATACTACAGGGCAGTTGTAATCAAAACAGCATGGTACTGGTACAGAAACAGATGGATAGACCAATGAAACAGAATTGAAACACCAGAAATCAACCCAAACATCTACAGCCAACTTATATTTGATCAAGGATCTAAAACCAATTCCTGGAGCAAGGACAGTCTATTCAATAAATGGTGCTGGGAAAACTGGATTTCCACATGCAGAAGCATGAAGCAAGACCCCTACCTTACACCTTACACAAAAATCCACTCAACATGGATTAAAGACCTGAATCTACGACCTGACACCATCAAGTTATTAGAGAACATTGGAGAAACCCTTCAAGATATTGGCACAGGCAAAGAGTTTCTGGAAAAGACCCGGGAGGCACAGTCAGTCAAAGCCAAAATCAACTATTGGGATTGCATCAAACTGAGAAGTTTCTGTACTGCAAAAGAAGCAGTCAGGAGAGTGAAGAGACAACCGACAGAATGGGAAAAAATATTTGCAAACTATGCAACAGATAAAGGGTTAATAACCAGAATCTACAAAGAGATCAAGAAACTCCACAAAAACAAAACCAACAACCCACTTAAGAGATGGGCCAAGGATCTCAATAGACATTTTTCAAAAGAGGAAATCCAAATGGCCAACAGGCACATGAAAAAATGTTCAAGATCACTAGCAATCAGGGAAATGCAAATCAAAACCACAATGAGGTTTCACCTCACGCCGGTTAGAATGGCTCACATGGAGAAATCTACCAACAACAGATGCTGGCGAGGATGTGGGGAAAAAGGGACACTAACCCACTGTTGGTGGGAATGCAAACTGGTCAAGCCACTATGGAAGTCAGTCTGGAGATTCCTCAGAAACCTGAAGATAACACTACCATTCGACCCAGCCATCCCACTCCTTGGAATTTACCCAAAGGAATTTAAATTGGCAAACAAAAAAGCGGTCTGCACCCTAATGTTTATTGCAGCTCAATTCACAATAGCTAAGACCTGGAACCAACCTAAATGCCCATCAACGGTAGACTGGATAAAGAAATTATGGGACATGTACTCTTTAGAATACTATACCGCAGTAAGAAACAACGAAATCCAGTCATTTGCAACAAAATGGAGGAATCTGGAACACATCATGCTGAGTGAAATAAGCCAGTCCCAAAGGGACAAATATCATATGTTCTCCCTGATCGGTGACAACTGACTGAACACCAAAAAGGAAACCTGTTGAAGTGAAATGGACACTATGAGAAATGGTGACTTGATCAGCATAGCCCTGACTGTTAATGAACAACTTAATACATTATCCCTCTTAGTATTTTTTTTGTCTGTTCTACTTAATACTACTGGTTTAATTCTGTAATTAATACACAGTTATTCTTAAGTGTTAAACTGAAATGTGATCCCTGTTAAACATAAGAGTAGGAATAAGAGAGGGAAGAGATGTACAATTTGGGACATGCTCAGGCTGACTGGCCCCAAATGGTAGAGTTAGAAACATACCAGGGGATTCCAATTCAATCCCATCAAGGTGGCATGTACCAATGCCATCTCACTAGTCCAAGTGATCAATTTCAGTTCACAATTGATCATAATGAAAGGACTAAGAGTCAAAGGGATCACATAAACAAGTCTAGTGCCTGCTAATACTAACCGATAGAATAAATAAAGGGGAGAGTGATCCAACATGGGAAGCGAGATACACAGTAGACTCATAGAATGGCAGATGTCCTAAACAGCACTCTGGCCTCAGAATCAGCCCTAAAGGCATTCCGATCTGGCTGAAAAGCCCGTGAGAGTATTTCAGGCATGGAAAGCCAAGACACTCTGGCAAGAAAAAAAAAAAAAAAAAAAACAAACCACACCTAAATGAAAGATCTCCGTGAGTGAGATCCCAGTGGAAAGAACAGGTCTTCAAAGAAGGAGGTACCTTTCTCTGAAGGGAGGAGAGAACTTCCACTTTGACTATGACCTTGTCTAAATAAGATAAGAGTCGGAGAATTCAAAAGGCTTCCAGAGCCTTGGAAACTCATGACTGGAGCATAGGGAGATTACTGATGCCATAAACAGGAGTGTCAATTTGTAAAGTCAACAACAGGAGTCACTGTGCACTTACTCCTCATGTAGGATCTCTGTCCTCAATGTGCTGTACATTGTGATTTAATGCTACAACGAGTACTCAAACAGTATTTTTCACTTTGTGTTTCTATGTGGGTGCAAACTGTTGAAATCTTTACTTAATGTATACTAAACTGATCTTCTGTATATATAGAAAATTGAAAATGAATCTTGATAAGAATGCAAGGGGAGAGAGCGGGAAAGGGGAGGGTTGCGGGTGGGAGGGAAGTCATCGGGGTGTGGGGGGAAGCCAATGTAGTCCATAAGCTGTACTTTGGAAATCTATATTCATTAAATAAAAGTTAAAAAAAAAATAGCTATTTAAAATGTGCCCCTGGCTGTTATTTTTTAACATCTCCATTATGTCCCCTTGATTTTTAAAATTTCTCTTCAATTGTTATTTATTTTAATATAATAGAACGGAAAGCCATTTACTCTCCTTATTTCTGTTCACAATGCACGGTGTGAAGAATTATCGTGCCTGATTTCAGATGGTTCAACTGCAATTCCTGTCCAAGTGAGTTCACTTACTAGGCTGCTGAGTCATTGAGCTGATAAGCAGATGCTCTTTCAAAGCAGGCCTGAATTCCTGGGTCCCTCCACAGTCGTTTGATGATCTCAGCCAGCTGAGGCGTCATAGTACCGTCTTCCATGGTGTTTGCCATAGCACAAAGCTGTTGCTGGTCTTCCTACAGCAACATTTGGAGAAGGATAAAAATACGTTATTTGTAATCACACATTCTATTTTTCAATGGTGCCTTTTAATTTAAGGATTTTTATCTGATTCCTTCAGCTAATGTGTAGAATATATTTTCAAGGTATATTAAAGTCAATATATAATAAAGCAAGCCAAAATAATAAAGCCAGCATTGTGGACTCACAATGCTCCATATGATGTTGGCATCCCATGTGGACCCTGGTTTGAGTCCTGCCTCCTCCAATTCTGATCCAGCTCCCTTCTAATGGCCTGAGAAAGCAGCAAAAGATGGTCCAAGTGCTTGGGCCCCTGTACCCATGTGGGAGACCTGGAAGAAGCTACTGGTTCTTGGCTTTGGTCTGGCCCAGCCCTCCTAACCATTGTGGCCATTTGGGTAGAAAACCAGTGGAAGGAAGAACTGCTCTTCTGATATAATTCCATTTAATATTTTATAAAATTAACAGTTTAATTTTACCATTTTATTTAAAAAATCTGCCTGTAATAGGAATCAAGAATATAGCTCTTTTTGTTAAAGAGAGGCACTGTTCAGACTGAAAAACATCTTATTTCACTTTTCTTTTTGATTTTCTCTGTTAAAAGCAACTTCATCAGTTGATAATTGGGCCAATGGTCAAGGCTTTACCCTATTTTCTTGCTTCAACACAGGATGCCATTTTTTTTTATTTGACAGATAGAGTTAGACTTGGGCCATCTTCCACTGCCCTCCTGGGCCACAGCAGAGAGCTGGACTGGAAGAGGAGCAGCTGGGACTAGAACCTGGCACCCATATGGGATACTGGTGCCACAGGCAGAGGATCAGCCAAGTGAGCCATGGCACCGGCCCTGAGGATACCATTTTAAACTCTTTTCTCACTGTTAGATGGATGGGATGCAGAGTTGCAGACTTAGCAGAGTATAGCTGATCACTCTTGCAAGCAATGCCGTCTTTGGTTGATTCCACTATTAAAGTGCATCTCAGGACAAATGATGCAAGAAACAGCTGCACACACAGTTTTATCACCAAAAGGAACAAAGTGTATGGCTTATCAGCACACCTTTATAAACCAAAGTAACCCAAGCTTCCCTTTAAAATTATTCCGTTTTAATTTGCAATGATTTTATTTGCATGAGTGTTGTGAATACAGCTTACTGAAAACATTTCACTGTTATAAGTGTCTTCAATCCTAGTACATTTCCCAAAGACAAGCCATCCTCTTGTTGATTTTTGTCTATCCAAACTTTTTACTTTTTAAGTTATTCCTGCATAGCTAGACCCAAGATGACTATCTTCAGTCCAGGCTGCATAATATGAGCACGTGGGGTTTAAAAATAATAATCTCAGAAATCTGACCCAAAAACAATAATCAAGAGTTTCTCAGTGTGAAGCCTTTCAAAGATATTTTTTCAAGAATTCCTGGTGACTCAAATGTGTGGTCTGTGTTAAGGATCCCTGGCAAAATGCAGTCTTTGTGTTTTGCTTTTTTTTTAAAACTACCAGTCGTGTTTTATTGATCATAGTGCAGTCCAGTTTCTTGATGTTCCTTTGTACTTATTGAAGAGCTATATAATTTGTATAATTTGAAAAATTAGAATTTATGTTTTTAAGGGTTTTGGAATAACTATCACATCTGAATTTTTAAAACACATAAGGACCGGCACTGTGGCGTAGCGGGTAAAACCACTGCCTGCAGTGCCGGCATCCCATATGGGTGCTGGTTCGAGTCCTGGCTGCTGCACTTCCAATCCAGCTCCCTGCTGTGCCCTGTAAAAGCAATGGGATATAGCCCAAGTCTTTGGGCCCCTGTACCCATGTGGAAGTCCCAGAAGAAGCTCCTGGCTCCTGGCTTTGGATCGGCCCAGCTCCAGCTGTTGTGGCCTACTGGAGAGTGAACCAGCGGGTGGAAGACCTCTCTATCTCTCTCTCTCTGCCTCTGTTTCTCTCTAACTCTGCCTTTCAAATAAATAAATAAATAAATAAATAAATCTTTTATTAAAAAAAAACTCATAACACCAAGCTTAATAGGTTATGAAAAACAGCCAAACTGATTAAAAATTGAATTCCTACTAATTATTTTACTCCCATATTTGAGAAATTCCAGTAATTTCCCACAAAACTCAAAATCCAAATGTCTTTTTATGGTTCATAGGCTCATCAGATTTTTTTTTAAAGATTTACTTATTTATTCAAAGGGCAGAAAGAGAAAGGGAGAGATAGAGACAGGGAGAGAGACACAGGAAGATATATTTCATCCACTGGTTTACTCCCCAGGTGGCAACAATAGCAGGTGCTGAGTCAGGCTGAAGCAAGGAGCCTGGAAGTCTATCTGGGTCTCCCACATGAGTGGCAGAGACCCAAGCATTTGGAGTATCTTCCACTGATTTGGACTATCTTCCACTGATTTTCCCAGGCCCATTAGCAGGGAACTGGTTTGGAAGTAGAAAAGCTGGCACTTGAACCAGCACCCATAAGGGATGCTGGTGTCACAGGTGACAGCTTAACTTACTGCACCACAATGCCTGCCCCATTGCTCCTGAGATTTTACCCGAGTCTGTCTTCCTTTCTGTGTCCCCTTCTTCACCCCCTACTCCGTTCCTCCCTGTCCCACTTTCAAGATGTGCCTGGCTCCTTGAGCACCATGTTAGAACTCTTGATTGGTGGTCATCTCCATATCATTTTGTGACTCACTTCCTATTGTGCTCAAGTCTCTTTGCAGCACAACCTCCTCAAGAAAGGCTTCTCCAACCATCCTTTCTTCCATCATGTTCTAATCCTTACCATCTTTTCTTTTCTTTTTTTTTAAGATTTGTTTTTTATATGAAAAGCAGAATTAGGGGGAGAGAGAGAGAGAGAGAGAGAGATCTGCCATTTTCTAGTTCACTCCTCAAATGGCCACAATGGCCAGAGTTGAGCAGGTTTGAAGGCAGGAGCCAGGAGTTTCTTCCGGATCACTCACGTAGGTGCAGGAACCCAAGCATTTGGGCCATCCTCTGCTGCTTTCCCAGATACATTAACGGGGAGCTGGATCGGAAGTAGAACAGCCAGGACTGGAACTGGCACCCATATGTGATGTCGACACCACAGGCAGCAGCTTAACCCACTAAGCCACAATGCCAGCCCCACCATCATTTTCCTTTTTGCACTTAATACTACTTATCTAGTGCATATTTCTTCATTTGCCACACATCTTTCATGTAGACCATAAGCACACAAAGGCATATATTTTATAATTTTGTTCATATCTCCATTTTTAAGGTTGAACAGAACCTAACACATAGGACGTGTCCCTGAAATGTTATTGAATGAATGAATCAATAAAGTAAATTTGCTAATCAGCTTATACCTCATGTTCTAGAGAAATTTTAAGTAATCACCAATCTCTAAAATTTTAAAAATAGTGCCCTGGATATTTGAGTGATATCCTGAAGGGGTTCTATTTCCATATAATGTATGAATATTTGGAAAGACTTGGTCCTTGAATGGCTCCTTCTCTACAGGTTTCATAGCTCTGGGCCCTTTTGCATAAGAAACAAAATATATACATTTTTCTATACAGGTTATGCTGAAGTTCTTTGTCAATATTAGTGGCCTGCTGTGGTCTTAGAAGCTTGTGAAACTCAGTTTGAATTCTAGAGTCATATTTTCCAAAAAATTTGTGAAAAACAATCAAAGGAAGCAAGGTATATACAGCCTAATAAGTGAGAAATATTAGGTGAAAAATGCCAGGTGGTGTTGCTAGCAGATTTTCAGTCTTTGAGAAGGACTATTGGTCACAAATTCTCAAGTTGTTATACCATGTTTATATCCAAAGCTTATTTGGTCATGGAACTCCAATTGTAGATGATCTTGAGGAATCTGAGCTCTGGTTCACATTGTAGATTTCATTTTGTCAAAAATGATTTGATTGTCAAAAATGGCCAAAATAACAAACCATTGAGTGGGAGTGTTAGGACATTCAGTGCTCCTAAAATTCTCTCTAGAGGATTCTAATAGAATATAAGAATTCAAAGAGGATAAATAGACATTTGTTAGTTATTTTTGCTATTTCTCTTTTCCTGTTTCTTCAGCTTTGTCCTCTTTGTAAGCTCTATGCTTTTGAAATTAGTCTATCAAATATTAAGCTAAAACAAGAATAAGCCCTGTTAGCTGTTCCCCTTCACTTTCCCCGACCTGCAGATTTCACTTCTCCCCTGCTCCCCAACTACACAGTTCCTGAAAACGTTGTCTTTGACCTCTGTTTCTACAGTTTCTTCTCATTGCCCAACACACTCCATGTATTCTGAGTCAGCTACATGAAACCCCTTGACTTATCTCCCCAGGGACTCCGCATTGCTAAATCCAATGAATTTTTGAAAATTAAGCTTCTTGCTTGACCTCTCAAAGCCTTCCAACTTGCATAACCTCCCCCTGGGAACACTTTTTTGAAACTTTGTGATTTCACATACCCTGATATTCCTCTACCAAATATTCTATCATCTCTTCTTTTCCTTTCACATGACCAGGAAATGTTGGAGATACTTTAATCCTCTTACATTGCTGCTTAATACTCTTCTCCCCCTACCACCTTGTCTTCTCTGTCTAAGCACTTGACTGCTGCATCTCATGTCCTTGATGAATGTAAATTATATACCACTGTATAATAGTATGCCAACAGCATGGAGATTAAGGTCTTTAGTCAAATACATCTTACAAATGTGTATATTTGTCAAATATACAAATGTGTATATTTGACATGTACACATTGCAATTGGTTGCATAGGTGACATCCCATAGAACTTCCAAACTCAACATTTCCAAAGTCCAGCCACCTCATTCTTCTCCATCCCCTTTTAGTGTTCCCTTTCTCAGAAATTGTGACCATAAATAAGGTTCTAGCTACACAATTAGATATCCTGCCCTTTTGAAATAGCTGATGCTTTGTATTCACTTGATCAACATCAGACTTTTCCTTCCTCCAAGGACAAGTAGGAAGTCCATCTCAATTATTGCTGACCTCTCAGTATATTCCCTAGGCCCAACCTAAAGTTTGTCACATAAGCAAGCTCATTGAAAAATACATTTTCAAAATTGTGTCAGATGTGTGGGTTTCAACACAAAATTTTAGTGAGAATTCATTAAACATGATTATTGGAAAAATAATGAAATCGGTTATTTATTGGGAACTTACATTTAGCAATACTCTGTACTTAGGTGGGTTAGTGGTTATCTTTGTTTCTCTGTTTATAGTTAAGGTAATTCAATGAGAAGAACACTAACATTTGTGAAGAAACTGATCCTTAGAGAGGCTAAGCTGCTTGTCCAAATTTACAGAACACGTGATTGAAAAAAGCTCATGTACATTTCCTATCAGGATTTTGAGTATGACAAGTTGTGTGGTGATGTGCAAATAGTTATGCCAAAGAATACACACCCACATAAAAAACAAATGAAAGTTAATCTCAACTCTGGAGGCCGCACATAGGTTGTGTTTTACAAATAATCTTTTGAATAAATAATTTAAAATATGTAGAGCATGCATTGATCTTAAAATCAAATACTAAAGAAGCCAGTGTTTCTATCATTTGAAATATGAGTTATGCAGTGCTTGACAGCCGTCACATTGTTCTGATATTTGAGGACATGGGTAATCCTGCAGTGTCATGACAGTTGCTTAACGCTGCTTGAGCTAATGTGTTTATACCTCTCAATGTACACTTTGAGTAAGTTGTGCTCGTTTTTATTTTCTTGTTGGCATAGTGGCGATGATAGGTACATTATTATTTTTACTCCACATGTATGTTAGATCATTAAGACTCTCAACCAACAGATTTTGGTTCTTTAGTGCTGTTGTTACTGATTTGAAAACTGCATGAAACATGTGATGTATGTAAATCAACACATAAGGTTGACACTCCAACTTCCTTGATGCAAATACATGGAAGACTGCATGTACATATTCTAGCACCATTAAACCATTCTGATTTCAGAAGGCACACCTATTTCAATAACTATTAGTGCCAAGAAGAAAAAAATAAAATTTCCTAATCATTTTAAAAAATCCATGCATAGAGAAAAAGCCAAAAAATGTGTTTTTTTTTTTTTTTTTTTGCCCTAAATGCTAGCTACATATCAGAAGCAAACTTATCTCATTTAGGCCTTACTTTTCTTATCTTTAAATTAAGGGAATTGTACCAGGTTGTCTCTTAAGAGCCAATTTAAAATCCTGGGTTCCTAGGATTAGCAGGAGTCAGAGAGATAACTGAACTACCCTTAAATAACACGATCACTTAGAGGTTGATAAAGGATGGATGATGTTGGAATTCAGCTCCTCCAAGCTCCTCCTTTCCACTTGAGAGGGGACCCAGAGCCAGAGAAACAGGTAACTTCCTGGGGTCAGTTCTGGGGAAAGCTAGGAATGGAAGAGGAGTCCTAGAATCCTGGCTCTGTGCTTACAAACCATCTGCCTTGAGGGTTTGCATATCCACTCTTAGTTCTCTGCAGAAAAGTGACAGGAGGAAAGAGGATTTATTTTTTCCTTTCAAGTTGGCAACATAGAAAAGGCATTTTTCTTTTTATCCTAATGACTTCCAGTGATCATGTATAGTCTCTCACCTGAACATGCAGGGGAGAGACAGGAGAGGCAAGAGGTCAAAAGTTGTTTTCCTCTCTGTACTTACTGCGTTGTGTTTTTGTTTAATGTTCCTTTAACAAGGTATCTAAGAACTGTGCTGGGAACAGTTCAACTTCATCTCTGGAGGTAGCCAGCTGCTTCTGGAAGGGACCTATGAAAGTGGGTGAGTTCTTCCTGTGCATTGTGTTGGTACTCTCTTTTGTGGGTGGGGTTGACTATTGTTCTTTGGGAGTAGCACCATATGTTCATTCACCAACAAAAATAGCATTTTATATTTGCATACACATGGTTTTAAAATAAATGTGTTTACAATACATTCTAATGTAAAATAACCATACTACAAATTGTATAATGGAACAAAAATGAACTTGTTTATATGCTACCTTATAAGCAAAACTATGACTACTTGAGTTTATTTGATGCACAGATATTTCAGTTATTCACACAACTTTGAATTCTTTTTTAAAAATGTTAGCATCATAAAATAATCATTTTCCTATTGCCACATAGCCTTTATAATTATCATAGAATATTAATGATAATTATAGGGTAAAAATTTTAAGTCTCCATGAAATGACAATTAGATTAAGAAAATAAATGTAGAATATTTCAGATTATGTTTTATGTAACAAACTCATTTGTAATTTAGCAATCATAAACAATATTTTTCTTATAGTGTTGTATTGGTTATTAGGCTTGATCCTTAGGATAACAAATAATGCTGAAAAGATTATAGCACCTAATGAAAAATACAAGCTTCAATAATGGGAAGATAAGAAACCTTACACCAAAAGCAATTAATGTTTCTGAAATTATTTTTTACATTACTAACATATTTTTGTAGATTAGTATAACAAACTTATTAAGTCCTACTCTTTCTGGCTCCGACTCCTTTGCAGGATCTGTAATGACCATTATTTGCATACTTACTGCACTTCTGGGATTTACATAATCAATCCCCAGGGTCCCCATAGCTTTCACAATAGCTAGGATGGATTGCAAGGTGTTGCTGTAAATGACTGCTTTGAACTCCATGCATTCTTGTGCAGTGTAGCCATTCTTGTGGATGATCCTATAATTGAAACATGGAAAGATTTTGTAAATTGAACAGTTGATTGTTCTACTAAAACACTGCAACCACAAACTGCTGGAATACAATTACAGTGTATCTTCATTTAAAAAGGAAGAATTCTGACTACATATATATGTTAAATCTGACCAATTTATGCCTTTGAAAGTTTATTAATCAATATCCTTTCATAATATTTCCTTTTTCTGTACCAGCCATGACAAATATGAAGAAATTTGTTTGCAAAAAAAAAGCTTTCTAAAATCATGAACCTTTTACTTAGAAAGCTGATTTTTTCTCAAAAGGAGAAAAATTATGGAGTTCTGAAATTTGCTGTTTTTTACCCCATGATGCCTAGAGGAAGTGAAGTCATTTAGTAAAACATTCTTGTCTTTTCCTATCACTTAAGGCGCACTGGAAAATAGGAGTGTCTGCTTTCTATTTACAGTTTTAACAAAGGCACTTTTTTCCTGCAGGTAATTGCACTCTGTTAAATCCCTTGTCACTTCTCCATCTGTGTACGTGCCACTGAGTTCTCAAAGTTGAAATGACCAGACATTCTATTTGGCTGAACTCTTCTCTTCCTTCCACTCATTCAGGCAGAAAAAGTCAAGGTTTTACTAGTAGTTTTGGAATAATAGCTCAAAATAGATTTATGTATTATAAGCTAAAATATTTGCTTGTGCCAACTATAGTTTTTTGCTTCTGTATTATATAATATGTTCCTGTTCCTTTCTACTGTTACTTCTTGTTGTTTTTGCAATGCTTTCTGTTCATTTTTGAATGCAATATTTCTAAAGATTTGTGTTGCATCTATGCACATAAAAGCTTTGCTGAAGGGGAAAAAGCATAAGTGCTTTTTAATATCTTTGACAAAATTATAACCTTCAAACACAAGGCTTTGGAACTAAAAAGAGTAAAGGCAGTGCCTGTATTTATGTTTTTTAAAAATAAATTTATTCGAAAGGGAGAGAGACAGAGAGAGAGCCAAGAACTCAATCCAGGTCTCCCACTGGTATGGCAGGGAACCCAAGTACTTGAGGGGTCACCTGCAGTCTCCCATGGTGCAAGTTTACAGGGAGCTAGAACTTGGTGTAGATCTGGGACTTGAATTTATGCAGACATCAAAGTGAAGTCTTGACTTGTAATGGCCACCCCTATTTATTTCTTAATTGACTCATATTTGATTAGCAATAATTGCCGTACTTCTATGTTAAAACTGGCCAATATTTGTATTGCTGCATTAAACAATTAAATAGCTTAAATAAACAAGTAAAGCAGACAATTAATTAAACACTGTAGAAAGCACAATAAAATATCTCTAGGGTTGACTAGGAATAAATTCTTTAAGGAAATTTCAACTCTGTCTAAATTTGAAATTGGAACATTATTTTAATTACGAAGTTAAAGTGGCAGTTACAAATAGGCGTGGCATGTTTGGCTATTCTTGCTTAAACAAGTTCTAATAGCTGTTCTCATCAGTGGGAGAGGAAACATCTATCACAAAGCAAAGTGATAAGATCAGAATTTACAAGTCTAGTTGAGGTTGGATGTTAAGCAACATTCAGCAACATGTTTTTCCTAGGAGCTGCATTAGTACACGTCTGTGTGAAAGAGTGCTCTACCGACGAGTCGGTTCCTAAGTCTGCTTACAGTAATAGGCTTTCCTGGGCATTTTCTGTAACTCGCTATACTATAACACACTAAGGAGAATGGATGAATTACGTGTCTCTCCTCCTTGGAAATAAGTAGACTACAGCTCCGCAGTAGCCAATAGCCACAGTGATTAGAGGTAGATTAAATTAAAAATTCCAGTTCCTCGATCACACTAGCCACGTTTCCAATGGCTGGTAAAGCCCACTTGTGTCTAGGAGCTCCATATGGGAGAGCCCAGGCACAGAAGCTGCCTGTTATTGTGCATGGTCCCATTGGAGAGCCCGGGTTTTGGGAAGGAAGAATATATAAACAAATTTTGGTGCAGCATTCCAATGTATGACGACAACATTGGTATGTGTGGAAAGATAGAGATGAAAAGAAGTGATGTGAGGTATTAGGGAAACCTCCTAGGAGGAGTCACAATTAGATGGATTTTCAAGCATCAGTAGTTATTCCCAATTTGTGAAAAGGTAGACCATCCCAGGCAGACTGATTAGAATATATAAATACGAGCTTGCAACAATCAAGATTTCAGTATGTGCCAAGAACTGTGGTGAGGGCTTTGTATGTCTTCTTATTTCCTACATTGAAATTACCACCTGCATTTTATAGGCAGGGAATGTAGGCATAGATAAATTAAGTATATAGTCCCAATTTATTCAACAGACAGGCAGACAGAGGGAGTGGAAGCTCCCATCCACTAGTTCATTCCCCAAATGCATGCAACAGCAAGGCCTTGAAGCCAGCAGCTGGGAACACAATCCAAAAGGGCAGGCTGTATGGATAACACAGTGGCAGGCAGAATAGGGAAACAGAAACTACTTAAGATAAGTAATCTGGATCAGAAATGATGAGATTTTAAACTAAGGCAGTGAAAATGCAGATAAATGATGTGTTTGTAGATAAATTGTGTAGATGTGGCATGACTTGGTGAGACTGAGAGCTCAACGTGGCCATACGAGATTGATTGCTTTGAAGGCTGGTATGTCTGTAATTTGTTTATGGGAATTAGAGACAAGTTTAATGTTCTTTATTCGATTTGTTTCTAGCCAGAGAATGTAGAGGTGGATGGATTTACTCCTCCAGATTAGGTAAAGTGTCTGAGTTTGAAAGAAATATTCTGGGATGGTCCTCTTGCAGATGCTAGAGAAAAACCAAGGGACCTCAGGAGCTCTAATTTTATGGATGTGCAGAGAGAAAGGGGAAGGAAGAGCATGTGGTACATTAGAAATGTCAATTTTGGGGATGCAACCTGAGGACAGAAGAGGTGGAACAGAACTGGGAAAGATAGTTCTCCTAGAAGATGTGCAACAGCTTTAAAAGGGAAAAGACCAATGGTATCAAATAGAATTTAGATAAGGCAATAAGAATGCTTCACAGGACAGATGTTAGGCCTGGACGTTAAGAAGCAACTTGGGATGCTGGCATCACATATGGGAGTGCTTGGGTTTGAGTCTTGATTCTAATCCGGATTCCAGCTTCCTGATAATGCACACAGTGTAAGGCAGCAGTCAATGGCCCAAGTATTTGGGTTCCTGCCATGTACATGGGATACTTGGACTGATTTCCCAGCTCATGGCTTCGGTCAGCAAATGTGAGCTCACTTTGTCCCTCCCTCTGTCTTTCTCTCTGCCTTTCAAATAAATAAAATCAATTAAAAAAAAAAAAAAAACAACTAGTCCAACAGCCAGCCACTCTGCTTCTGATCCAGCTTTCCTTTAATATACCTGGTAGGCAGTGGGCTCAAGAGCTTATGTTCCTGTTAAGGGTAAGGGATGCCCACATGGAGTTTCAGGCTTCTGGCTTTGGTCTGTTCTGTCCTTGGCTATTGTGGGCATTTGGGAAGTGAACCAGTGGGTAGAAGATCTCTCTCTCTCCTCCTCTCTTTCTCTGTGTCACTCTGACTTTCAAAAAAAGAAATATTTTAAAAAGATACTACCTTCTTAGAAAGTGATATAAATATCTTTGCCCATAAATTTTCATGTTTTATGTATTTGGATGTTATTATTTTCATGATTGCATATTTTTAAATTACTCAGTTATGGAAAATTCTGAGATATATGTAGAAAATCAGTACTTAACGATTTTCCCAGTTCATTGTGTATAGTGAAAAACTAGTTCTATAAATTTCATGTATTACATAATTTTACAAGTAGTGATAAGAAACACATTTTTCAAAATGTCATCTTACTAGATAATATTTTTATTTTAAACATTTTTATTTATTTGTATCTTATTTGAAAGGCAAGAGAGACAGAGTGAGAGAGTGACAGCGAGAAGAGAACTCTTCCATCTGCTGGTTCACTCTCCAATGCTCACAACAGTGAAGCCTGGACTAGGCAGAGGCCAGGAGCCTGGTGCTCAACCCAGGCCTCCCACATGGGTGGTAGGGAGCCACCTATTTGAGGCATCACTGCTGCCTACCAGGGTCAACTTTAGCAAGAGACTAGGACTATATCCTGCTCTTTAATATGGGATATTGGTGTCCCAAGTGGCATCTTAACACATATGCCAGCCCTTGAGGTATTATTTTAAAATTAGTTTGCTAATTTACTCATATGAAAAACATGTCATTATTGATTTAATTTTTATATTTAATAAATAGTGCAATTAAACTAAAATATGTTTTATTTATCCATTTAATTTTGTCTTTTGTGAACTGTTCATTGTTTCTTTTTTTAAGATTTATTTATTTATTTGAAAGGAAGAGTTACAGAGAAAGGGGGAGAGAGAGAGATCGTCTATCTGCTGATTCACTCCCCAGATGGCCTCAATGGTTGGAAGTGAGCCAATCTGAAGCCAGGAGTCTTCTCTGGGGCTGCCATGGGGATGCAGAGGCCCAAGGAGTTGGGCCATCCATCTTCTACTGCTTTCCCAGGCCATAGCCGAGAGCTGGATTGGAAGTGGAGCAGCCAGGACTTGAACCAGCGCCCATATGGGATGCTGGCACTACAGGCAGCAGCTTTAATCGCTACACCACAGCACTGAACCCTGTTTATTGTGTCTTTCCATTTGTTGTATTGGGTAGCTTATTATTTTAGTTAAAAGTCTAAAGAACTTTCTATATTAAAGTAGTCAATTATTTAGCTGTCTATCATGTTTATCATAGTTTTGTCTTGTTTTTAGAAATTCCATTTGTGATTTAATAAATTACAAGTTTTCCTTTTTTATACAGCCAATAACTGATTTTGTTTTACTTCATTGAAGGTCATAGAAAACAGAGAGGTCAAAAAGGATAATAGAGACCAAACCATGGTTTAGATGGTAAACCGAACACTGCTGTTCACCTGGGACTTTTCCTCATTTAATACATCCAAAACACATAATGAAAAATATTCCTTCTTTTCTTCTGCTTCTGCTGCATCTTTAGCAAAAATTGTCCTTTAAATTTTTCTGTTATTGAGAGAGCCATGAAGTTTCATCCATGCACCTCCACCTATCAATCCTCATTTTATTAACTTAGATATTAATGAATTACAGTACTTCGGTGTTCATTATTTTCTTACTAAGACATTCAGGTCTAGCTAATTCATAAAAAGCAAAAAGTAGAGAAGATCATACAGTGACATTGAAATCCATGCTGGTGATCATTTAAAATATGCTTTTTGTTCCCAAAGTAGGCTAAATATCAATGAAGTTCAAGCTTATATTTTCTCAAAAAATCAAATGCCTCACTGAGTGAGACGTTTTGAAATGTTTCATGGGTTTTGCCCATAGTAGTGCAATCCTAGACCATTCCCAGCTCACTATAATTACAATACAGCTGCTTTTCCTGTTTTTCCCATTGAGAGGCAACGTTTGGAGGATAAACGCCAAGTTACCCTATTCCCTGTCTGCACTGCTTTCTACGGAAGGTCAGAGGACATGTCTGCACAGCCCTGTGACAGCCCTGCCACTGCTTGTGATTCAGCACGCAGCACTGCGGACAGCATTTAGGTCTGGTCAACCACATGGACAGACATCGCATACGAAGCATCTGAGAGTTGTGCACCTACTTCATTTGCTTAACGATAGTACTTTTTCCAGATTCCCCTGCGCCTGCAACAGAAAGAAGGAATTGTTAGCCGCGGACACAGGACATTGGTATAGATACTAAATCCTGACCATCAGTTGCCTCTCCGAGTGTTTCTTCTAAAGCAAGTAGCATATACCATTCGAGAAAACCGTGTGACTGCATTTGAGCATAATTCAGAGAGCTTCCAGCTTAGCAAGCCAAGGAAGTGCTGCCCATTTCACAGCCGCTTACGTTCTCAGAATATCTTCTCATATATTCTATTTGGATCAATGGTAAAAGAAAAATATTAGACAATAATTTTTTGTTTACAAAATGGTTTACATTCTATTCTGACTGAGGGGTGGGCTGTTGTCCACAGCTCTGTGCATTCTTTTGTGCACTGGTACAATCCCTTCTGTTTACACGAAGAAAGGTTGTAATAACAGTAAGCAAAACTAGGAAACCTGTGGGGTGAGTTGATCTGGGAGTGTCTCACATGGGTTTCCCTGCCTGGCTGCAGGGTGTGATGGTGGTGGCAGATGTGAGGGGCAAGGAGCTGGTAGTGACACCACAGAGAAACATTGGCATTTCTCCAGAACACTTACTACAGGTGACTCTATAACATTTAAAACTATTTTGGCCGGCGATGTGGCTCACTAGGCTAATCCTCCTCCTGCGGCGGCAGCACCCCGGATTCTAGTCCCGACTGGGGCACCGGATTCTGTCCTGGTTTCTCCTCTTCCAGTCCAGCCCTCTGCTGTGGCCCGGGAGTGCAGTGGAGGATGGCCTAAGTGCTTGGGCCCTGCAACCGCATGAGAGACCGGGAGGAAGCACCTGGCTCCTGGCTTTGGATCAGCATGGTGTGCTGGCTGCAGCACGCTGGCTGCAAGCGGCCATTGCGGGGTGAACCAAAGGAAAAGGAAGACCTTTCTCTCTCTCACTGTCTAACTCTGCCTGTCAAAACAAACAAACAAACAAAAAAAACTTTATTTATAATTCTTAAAAGACAAGATACAGACCTTAAATGAAAGCTCAGTAGTTGTTTCAGGCTGTCTCAATGCCTTTTCAGGGTATTTCTTGAATCTCTTTTGCCATTAAGGAATTTTTTTTTTTTGAAAAATGAAAACCAAGAAGTGCTGATAAAAGGATGAATTGAGGTTTGACTCTGCCCTACTCCCCTGTGTGTGTGTGTGTGTGTGTGCACTCACGAAGGACTTCAGCAAGCCCTTTAACATTTTATTTCCTCATTTATGAGGATACTTCAAAAAGTTCATGGAAATGTAATTAAAGATTTTTTGTGTGAAAAAATTTTAAAATCCACACATAACTTTTTTTTTTTAATTTTATTTGATAGGTAGTGTTATAGGCAGTGAGAGAGAGAGACAGAGAGAAAGGTCTTCCTTCTATTGGTTCACCTCCCAAATGGCCTCCATGGCCGGAGCTATGCCAATCCGAAGTCAGGAGCCACGTGCTTTTCCCTGGTCTCCCATGCAGGTACAGGAGCCCAAGCACTTGAGCCATCCTCCACTGCCTTCCCAGGCCACAGCAGAGAGCTGGACTGGAAGAGGAGCAATTGGGACTTGAACCCAGTGCCCATATGGGATGCTGGCGCCACAGGTAGAGGATTAGCCAAATGAGCCATGGCGCCAGGCCCCACACATAAATTTTTCACAACATAAATTTTATATGAATATTTGAAAAATCTATATAAACTTAGAATGTTTATCTCAGAAGATCATTAGAAGACTATATTAACTCAGCAAGCATGAAATTCTTTGCAAACCATGGAACAAACATAGAGCAATGTCATCTGAGATTTCAAGGATCTCAGAAGCACAGAACAATCTAATATCCTATTATGGATACTCCATATGTATTCAGCAAAGATTTGGAGCATTTGTATGTCTATGTGGACAAAGAGTGCCAACTTACTGACTCATACCATAATTTATCAAAATTATTTTGAAATATTTTATAAATAAACATATATAAACTAAAATTCTAAAATTGTAGAGGAAATACATAGATTAGAAAAAATCTTCACAGCCTTGAACTAGTTTAAAAAATCTAGTAGATAATATATAAGCCAATGAAAAGTAAAATTTAGATTAATGGAACCCAGTCAAGGTTAGGAGTAAAAAGCAGCAAGCCCCTAACTAGGAAGAAGTATTCTCAACATGCTTGGCAGACTTAGGATAAGCAACCAGCGACCTGAGTGCAAAAGGACTCAGGACAGTTAAGGCAAAATATCCAAAATGATTGAGAATATGGGATATTCGTAAGAAAAAAAATCTAAAAATGACTATGACTCGAGAATGAAAATAAAAGGTGAATAAAACTTCTGCAATACATAGGCTGTGGGTAGAACATAGAAACAAACTAGAAATTTTACTTATTACTATGATTTGCATATGGTTTATCATGTCTGAAACTCATGCTGAAATATCCCCATTATGAGATATTAAGAGGAGGTTTGGGCTCTGATCTCGTGAATGAGCTGATCAATTCATGCAATTAAAGGATTAATGGGTTAATGGTTCATCTCAAAAGTCTCTCTGCTTCTCAAATAAATAATTCAACAACAACAACAACAAAGTGTGAGTGTACTATTAAAGCAAATGTGTCTGGGTCTTTTGGGTCTTGACCAGAAAAGTGAGTCGAAAGAAACTTTTTCTTCTTTAAAATTGTGGTATTGTGCCATTAACAAGAGAATATGAACACTAGTTTATGAATCTTAGACATACAGGGAAGAGAGGAGGGAAAGGAATCCAGACCACTTTCTGAGGTTTGGAAATTCTTGTGTTATAGACAGAAGGAAAGCAGGGTATCATCAAAAGTTGAGGAATTCTGGTAATATAAATTAGATCTTAAAAGTTTGAGATAAAATCACCAATAAATCTCTAAAGAGGAAAAGTCAACATTTTATAATTCTATGAGAACAGGTCTTCCATGAAAGCATATCTCCTGGATCTCAAATAAATAAGTTATTGAGCTACATGGACCAACAGCCTGATCTAAAAAGCCAGTGAATATATTTTTCATCCACTGATACTGATTTCCGTGTCTCTAGGGAAAGCAAAGGGCTTACACCGTTACTGGCAGTTCTATGAATTGGGTCATAGAGCATATTCGAAGACTCAGTGTGCCTGCCAATTCTGGACAGATTTCAAAGTTACACAACTAAAGCAATTTCCAGACTTCCTACGGAAAATTCAACTTCCAGAAAACTAACATAGAAGTACCCTTTACCAGTACAGAAGTCCACTTACTTGTTTTACCAAAATTAGGATTTCATGCAAGCAAAAGTAATATGACTTTTGGTAACCCCAAATCTCAGAATTCCATTTGAATTATATTCAGGCATATTTTGAATCAGAGCAGCCTGTTTATCTATTTCAGTTTTTAGCCCCTCTCACCCATTTGATTTTTTCCCCAATTTACTTTCACTTTTTTAGCCAGCACTTTTGCTAGATACTTACAAATTATTCATATATTTTTTTTCTCATTTGTCTCCTTCACTGCAAGGTAAATCCCAAAGGGCAAGGGTCCTTGTTTTGATCACTGATATATACAAAGCACCTAGGACTTTGCCTAACTCATAAGGTAATCTCAATAAAACAAATGAATTTAAATGCATACTTTAAAAGTAAAATTTTGCTTTTTGTGTTATGTGTCACAATTTTCTTATACAAATATTACCGTAAAGGGAAGGTGTTTGGCCTCGTTGTTGGAATGCCAGGTAGACGTCCATAGCCCATAATAGAGTGGCTGGGTTGGAGTCCCAGCTTAACTCCTTCGAATTTCCCGCAAATATGTATACTGAAAGTCAGAAGTAGTAGTCTCTGCTGCCCACTTACAAGTCCTGGATTGAGTTCATAGCTCGCAGGTTCATCGCCAGCCCAACCCCAGCCATTGCAAGCCTTTGCAAAGTTAACCAGATGATAGGAAACCTGTCTGTGTCTGTCTCTTTGCCTCTCAGTAAATAAATTTTTAAAAATTTTCAAGAAGAAATATTACTGTATAATTTACTATTTTCTCTCAAGCCTTGATGAACATAAATAGCTACATTTATAGTTAATTTTATTTAGCAACAAAATTTTTGTTGTTGTTCAAGACATGGAAATGTGTCTGGTCCCTGCAGTTGTCTGAAACAGCTGCCCCACTCCACATGATACTGAAGAAATGAGTGTGGAACTGTAGGAAACAGTGTGTCATTTCCTGGTGAAAATATATCAGGGTTCTTCTAGAATCTCATGAAAAATGTAAATTTTGAAAAACTTTGCATGGATTTCAAAAGTTTTTGCAACAAAATCAATTTTTAATACACTACTTCCATGAATTTTTTGAATTACCTAAGACTCCAGAATACTTATTGTAACTTTATCCTGGTGTGCTCTGTAGCACAAGTTGTAAAATTTGAAAACAAAATTGATGAAGGCTAAATTCAACCAAAACATTTTGAAAATACTTTTTCTTAGACAATATAATCAAACACAAACTGACAGATTGGGCAGACCCATTCATATAATTGTGGCTGTTGTGCCCAAAATGAACCATTTGAGAATAAAATAAAATCGTATTACAATATCACCTCACCTATTTTCAGAAGACAAATGCCTGTACTCTTCTGCATGGCTGAGAGTTATTTGTTTGCAAGAGTGGCAAGAGTGCATTAAAACTGCTTTGCAAAAACATTATTTCACGCTTCAAGGAAGTTGCAATTTGCTCTAGTATGTGTGCATCACTTTAAGTGGGAAGTTATGCAGAAAGATTTTAGAACTATCCTTGATCGATTTTGTTTCAAAATCTCTGACGACAGAAGTGAATATCAGAAATTAAAGTCTCTTCCTATTTAGGTGACAGATTTGGAGAGTATTTTACTTCTCTGATTTTTTAAAATTTTCATTTTATTAAAATTTACAGTTATAGGAGTATTAGTGGAAAGTCAATAAACCCAGTAGGAACTGTAGAACTTGACCATGCAAGTGTATTTAGTGTTGTATTCTGTTGAATCAGAGCAGAAATATTGGGGAAAATACTGTGA